TATATATATATATATATATAATAAATCTTTTTTTCTTCTTTTTTTGTGTATTAATTGTATTAATTACCTACAATAAATAATACTATTAAGGAGACAAAACACGAGAAAGTACATATATTTCCTTTTTTTTTCTCTCTTTTTCTTCCTTTTTTTTCTTTATTTATTTATTAGTAACAATAAATAGCAAAGAAATACAATAAATATAAATATACACAAATAATTGGATAGATGTATGCATGCAGTTGCTGCTGCTGCTGCTGCTGCTATACAGGAGGAAGGGAGGAGGCCTCCTTGTCCCTGTGCCTCTTATTGTCTCCTTATTACTCCCCTTTTGCCTCCTTTCTTTGTGCATGCATTCCTCTATCTATATTCAGCTCCCCTTCCTTCCCCCTGTCTCCTGCTGTCTCCTTTTATACCTTAATACTCCTGCCAGCCCCAAATATGCATGCGCATGCATCATCCTCCTTTTTTTTGTACTTATATAGGGATATAATGCATGCATACTTGCATGCATTGTTGTATACAGTAAGGGGTAATAGGCAACGGCCTCCTGCTGCCACCTCTCCCTGCGTGCATGCATGCATGCATGCATGCATCCGCTAGGGCAGCGCCTGCTACACAGTAGATATCTACACTTGCTGCTGCTCGTGCTGCTGCTGCTGCTGCTGGGCATTTGCTGCAGCTGCTGCTCATTGGTTGGCTGTAAACCCTCCTCTTACGGGAAGCACAAGCGCTAAACCCTAAACCCTAAACCCTAGATACAATAAAATATTGACTAATAATATTAACTACTTATTTGTTATAAATAAATCTTCAAACCCTAAACCCCAAACCCTAAACCCTAAACCCTAAACCCTAAAAACCATATATTGAAGTGTAGGTAGCCTCACGGCGTAACCTGTAGAGTTGTCCATATCAAGCGGTTGTTGCTGCTGCAGCTGCTGCAGTTGTTGCTGCTGCTGCTGCAGTTGCTGCAATTGCTGCAGCTGCTGCAGTTCCTGTTGCTGCTGCAGCTATGAATACTAACACCAGATTCCTAGGTGACCTGATGTCCATCTTGCTGCTGCTGCTGCTGCTGCTGCTGCTGCCTGCTCTGGTCTATGTACAGAGCAGGCTGCCAACAGGCTGCTGCTGCTGCTGCTGCTGCCAGTGTTGCTGCAGCACTGGCAGCAGCAGGAGCAGGATTAGCAGGAGCAGCAGGGGCCCCCATAGGGGCCTCATAGGGTAAAATCATAGATCTCTGAATAGAGGGCGGGGCCCCCCTCCTCTAATCTTTCGTCAACCTTAGCAAAGAAGGAGGAGACGGCCTCCCTCCAGCTCCATCCATCTCCTGCTGCTGCTGCTGCTGCTGCTGCTGTTTCGGGTTCTGCTGCTGCTGCTGCTGCTGCTAATTCAGAAGAGGCAGCAGATATACTTGCAGGAGGAAGCAAAGAAGGATAAATAGATACACCAGACACAGCAGCAGATTGTGCTGCTGCTGCATATGCTAGATTCTCTAAGAAAGAAGAAAACCAACCCTTGCTGCTGCTGTCGGTTGCTGCTGCTGCTGCTGGTGCTGCTGGTGCTGCTGTATCATGTTCCTCTTCTAAAGGTACTGCAACAGCTGCAGGAGACACGCCACTGTCTACAGCTATATTGTCTGCTGCTGCTGCTGTTGCTGCTGCTGCTTCTGCTGCATCTGGCTCTGCCAGGTCTAGTGCTGCAGCCTCTGCTGTATTTCCTTCTGCTGTTGCTGCTTCTTCTTCCTCTCCTGCTGCTGCTGCTGCTGTTCTTTGTGTGCAAGGAAACAAAGACTCTGCGCTTAACACCATATGATTGGGTGACCGCCAACGGGCTGGGTTGCTGCTGCAGCTGTTCCTGCTGCTGCTGCTGCTGCTGCTGCTAGGTAGTACAGAGAACTGGTCTGCTGTATCATCATCTGGCTCGGCTGCTGCTGCTGCTGCTGCTGCTCCTTCATCTACATCTGCAGCAGGCTGGAAGCTCATTAGGTCCTGCAGCAGGGGCCCCTGGGCCCCGCTAATGACGGTCCGGGCAGCACATACTGCACAGCACACGCATCGAGGGTTTAGGGTTTAGGGTTTAGGGTTTGGGGGGCCTAGGGTTTAAGGTAGAGTTAGGGTTTGAGGGTTAATGTACAGCGCAATGGGATGGTGATCTAAAGGGAAATGTTTCAAGATAATAATGCTGACAAAACCCTAAACCCTAAACCCTAAACCCTAAACCCTACAGACATGTTGGTGTTGGCCCCCGCTAGGCAACAAGGGGCCCCCCTTAGGGTTTTCTGGAGGAACTATAACGTATGACCACACACTTAATAAACAGCATTTAGGGTTTAGGGTTTAGGGTTAGGGTTTAGGGTTTAGGGTTTAGTAGACTGGGGACTCACGTGTGGGACCCCGAGTCAGCAAGCCGACTACAAGGGGGGGGAGGAGCAGTCGCCTCATTGCGAGGGTTTAGGGTTTAGGGTTTGGGGATTTCGCAGCTTGTAGGAGGGGCTTAGTAACAAAATCAAACACTGTCCATCTAGGCATGCAGCAGCAGCAGCAGGTCCTGCTGCTGCTGCTGCTGCTGCTCCTGCAGCCCCATGTCTCTGCGAGACAACAGGCTGGGGACCAACAGCCACAGCAGCAGTAGCAGCCACAGCAGCAGCAGCAGCAGCAGCAGCACAGCTGCTACCTTTAAATAATTATAAATATAGTACGATAATCTTTCTTCATCATATTACCAAGTTTAGTGTTTAGGGTTTAGGGTTTAGGGTTTAGGGTTTATGGTGAAGGACGACGGTCAGCAGGAGAGGAGGGGCCCTGCAGACGATCATTAAGAGACTCGATAGGGAGAGTCTTAGGGTTTAGGGTTAAGGGTGTAGTATCTATTGTTTAGGGTTTAGGGTTTAGAGTTTGGTGTTTTGATCCCAGGTGTTGAGTTTAGAGTTTAGGGTTTAGGGTTTAGGGTTTAGGGTTTAGGGTTTTTTAGCATCTTGAAGATGGCGAAGAAAAAGGGCAAGGGCAAAGGCCCTGCCCAGAAGGTCGATGTAGCGAAGCTACAAGAGGAGGCTAGGTTACAGCACATTGAAGTAAGAGAGTGTAGGGTTTAGGGTTTAGGGTTTAGGGTTTAGGGTTTAGGGTTTATATACCTTCTTAGGTGACCCTGAGGGTTTTTAGGTGTATGTACACCTCAGGAGAGTACAACCCTCGTGCTACAAAAGGCGGGGCTTCCCCAGAAGGAATTATTGGAGGGTTGGATAGAAGAGGCGGTGGAGATTAAAGTCCGATCTACCAAACCCTAAACCCTAAACCCTAAACCCTAAACCCTAATTTCGGAAAAGAGTATGAAACCCTACTTGTACATTTTAACCTCCTAACTATTCTCCCTTTATCCTTCTCTTGACAGTAAACCCTAGCAACCCCCCCAAACCCTAGACCCTAAACCCTAAACCCTCCTAGAGGTTGAATATGGGTCCCGTGTTTGCGCTCATATCCACAACAACAGTCTAAAGAATCATGAGGGTTTAGGGTTTACTAGGGTTTATGATGTTATATGTTGTGTATAAATAGAAACAAGAAGCAATGAAGGGTTTAGAGAGGGAAATAGAAGGACATGATATATTTATGGGGTGTACAGACAGCTTATTACAATCAATAAAATGGGAACATCAAGACACAGAAGAAGCAATAAGAGCAGCAGCACAAACCCTAGATAGTACACATAATGATTTATTAAATCTACAAGAAAAAAGAGAAAAAGATGTTTATTTATTTTTTACACAAAATGTTTATTCATTAAAATCTTCTTTTATTCAACATATACAACATATTAAACATTCGCATGCACAATTCATCGCCCAACTCAAGATGTTATTACAACTCGTACGTCTAGGGTTTAGGGTTTAGGGTTTAGGGTTTATGGGGTTTAGGGGTAAGGGGATGCGTGCTGTATAATACCAATATATAATATTAAGGGTTTAGGGTTTAGGGTTTAGGGTTTAGGGTTTACAGAAGAGGTTAGAACAACCCAAAATCCAAAAGAAAGAAAACCCTTCATCCCAAAACTCTTAAACCCCCCAAACCCTAAACCCTAAACCCTAAACCCTAAACCCTCGGGAGTGTATTTTTTTCATTTTTCTTCCTCCTCCTCCAAAAAAAAAAAAAAAAAAAAAAAAAAAAAAAA